GTCCGTCCGTCCGTCCGTCCGTCCGTCCGTCCGTCCGTCCGTCCGTCCGTCCGTCCGTCCGTCCGTCCGTCCGTCCGTCCGTCCATCCATCCATCCATCCATCCATCCATCCATCCATCCATCCATCCATCCGTCCGTCCGTCCGTCCGTCCATCCATCCATCCATCCATCCATCCATATATATATATATTACGCTCGCTCGCACGCGTACGTATGTCGGCCTACACGCGCTGCTACAGACGCTCCTACCATCTCCGCACATCGCTCTAGATACGGACTCCACGTTCTATGCAGTCTAATTCTCCCCCCCCCCACCTCCCGCACCCACAGGATCGTGTTGACAGTTTGCTGCGCAATCAGCAGCAGCTGCGAGCCTATGTATATTTGCACAGATAAATTAGCTACTACTGATATCATTTTGTGCTTTGATTGAAACCCTGCGCCATTGTCGTGCTATCTGTGTGCGCCACCCACACACGTACACGCAAAAGATATATAAACACAGAGTGATTTTGAAGCCTCAGTTAAACAACAGTGCGCGAATAGACTTTATTTTGTTTTATAACCGTACGGTTATAATGTTGTTGTTGTTTTTATTAATTTGATTATTTTATTTTTAAATTATTTTCAGTATTAATTTATTTTTATTTTTATTTACCATTAGGTTTTTGACTTGGTTTCTTGCTTGTCAGACTAACTTTCATCGGTCTCTTCGCTTTGATCACTTCCTTGGTTCTTTGTGTACTGACTGTATAAGACATTGGGCAGCTGTACCTCAAGCGAATGAATGAATCATCGAAAATATCGAATGAATGAAATGGCATTTTGTTGAAATTATATTTTTAATTAGAGAGAGTCTATCAGGCACTATAATAATCATAATGTGCCTAGTTGTTCTCTATTTCCCTGTAGCATACCTTTGTTTGCGCATATACTTAGCATCCATTAAATAAATGACTGCTTTGTTGAAATTGCACTTAAAGGGAAGAGCATTCATGAATGAGAAAAGTATTCCTCGCAGAAAAATATCACACGAAAAATAATTTTACAGCTTTTATCAAATTAATGATATTGTATTTTGCTGAAATTACACTTATAAAAGATACTTAGATTTCTCCTTTCTACATTTCACAGTTATACACACAAACATACACGTTAACTTGTAATAATTGTAATGTAAATTACATGTAATGGCACCTAAACGCACGAATTAACACGGGTATACACTATAAGTTAAATGTAAAATTAACATCTAACATTCCAAAGAGCACAGGGGATGCATAACCATATTTACCTCTTGCGTTTTCAAAATATACAGTGCAGAGATATACGCTGCATGAGTAGTATCTCAGCAATGTGTAGCACATAACTTGTGCGGGTTAATTAATATATGCTCCTTCGCATTTAAAAATTCGCAAGACGCCCACGTGGCAAGTCCGCATATCCTCTTTTACGGCATACATGCGATAAAGCATTTGCATTGATTGTTCTTCTGATATCGAAGTAAGCACGGTTGGTTCGCTGCGTTTGTAAAATAACAGTTTATGTATATATATATATATATATATATATAGAGAGAGAGAGAGAGAGAGAGAGAGAGAGAGAGAGAAGAGAGAGAGAGAAGAAGAAGAGAGA